TTTCTTCTGCCTTCCTCTGCTGCCTGCTCACATACTACTCTCTCTATGTATTATTCACCACTTGTCAGAGCTCTCGCCTCAAACTGCACATCACAAGTGGCCTCTCCATCACTTCCTCCATTTACTCGTGAGCCGTGTGCAAAGCTCCCCATGCGATTTCCTTGTGTCAATAAATGTATCCAAGCACCATCACAATCAGGGTGTAGCGTCTGGTTAATGCATGACTCATTAGTCGGGTCCTCGGTGATGCTGCCGTGCTGCTTAATGAACTGATGAAGCAGTGAGTTTTTAAAGTTAGAGAAACGGTGGGGCAGCGCTCCACCTGTGACGCTGATGTGTCTAAAGCAGAGTGGCAGATATGAGCACATGCACACTTTCTGTGCTGGTTGGTAGGAACTGCTCGGGTTTGTTGATTCTGCTATTTTTATGTCCTAACTCCATTTTCCGGAGGTCATTTGTCAGACGACGCGTGAACAAAATAGTCGTACATTCGGCTGTGAAATCTGAATTTATGTACCTTATACCCCGAGTCTCCAAAAATAATAGCTTTGTTCAGGGACTGAAAACATTTTGCTGCTGTTGGTGTCTCAGCACACACGATCCCCGCGAGCGCTGCGGTCAGTGCTGCGCAGGCCACACACAGCGTGTCCATGTTAATCACACCACTTGTTTACTTTTCACTCAGCTGCTGGTGACATTTATGATAATTAGCTTGAGCTGATGTAATGCAATATTGAGCTGATGATGGTTATCATTAGAGGTGTCAATAACAAGGTCGGTGCTGGCTTAAACTGAGAAGCTAGCTAGCTTTTGTACCTTAGTGGTTGCTAATGACTGAGAAGCAGAGGAGAGCTGACGTGTTACTCTTATTTATCTCGTGCACACTGAGCTCCACAAAATTAGCAGCGTAGCGCCTTTATGTTGTAGTCACATGTAGATCGGAAACATCCCGTGCTGCTTCTCTGTGTTGATATTTGGAGACATAGCTGCTCAATGCACAATTGGCTGGCAGTGTTGGGTGCTGCTTGCTATTTATAGAAACAGGGGTCTAGACCAGCTCTGCAGCTGAACGCTGTGTGGAGAAAGAGGCTCGTGGGTGGCATGAGGTGGTATTAGTCTCGGGGGTGGGGGGTGTATGCGTGCAGAGGGTGATGCGATTGAACATCACGCTAGCGTGCATAAAGGTTGTGTTTGTGTGGACATCAGAGAGAGCGGAGCGGGGAGGAGGGTGGATGGAGACAGGAGTTGATGTAATGTCGCCTCTGGCAGCCATAACACAGATGTACTGCAGGTGGTCCTCAGATACTCGCTGCTCGCTGCGTGCACACATGCATGTGTTCGCCTACATCCACAGCATGAGCATGCTTGTAATAATTAGGGTTTGTTTACTTTCTCTTCTTAATTTAACTGGTGTGTGTTTGACTCACAGACTGCAGACGTAAATAGGTGTGTGCTGCACGTCACTGTAGGATTACCTAATGCAGCTGTGGCCTTCAGAGTTTTGAACTAAGGGTTTTCCTGGAGTCAGATACTCGGGGTAGTGGGCGGGGCCTCAGTGGATCGGGGTAGTTCCTGAGCTTCGAGCTGATGCTTGATTGGACTGGGATCTGGGGACTTTGGAGGCTGTGTCGTTGCCTCGGGCTTTTTGTCGTGCTTCTCGAGCCGTTACTGAGGATTTTTCTGTGGAGTGGCATGGCACATTGTCCCGCTGGAGGAAGCTTTCATGGGGGAAGTTCTTAGTGTGCAACAGTGCTGTGTCAAAGCAAACGGGACACGAATGATCTGAGGCTTCCCAGCAGAATTGTACCGTAACAGGACTGCCACTGGAGAGGCGCCATGACCATAGCTGAGATTTTAAGCATTGAAACAGCACTGACAGGATCGTCTACAGCTCTACAGGAGGGTGAACATATGTCAGTGTCGTATTGTTCTGAAGGCGTCACTCGTAGAACGACTGGCTGGCTAAGGCTTGGTGTTAAACTTGACCTTACAGGGAGGTAAAAGAAAATCATTTAACCTCGACGTCAAGAGGATAAACTATTCATGCAATAAAAAGCTTTAACAAACATCTCTGACTAATTAAGGGCATGGGACAGCTGAGCTGGAGCTCCTGATGTTAGCAGCCTGTGCAGAGAATTACAATCTCCAAGCCGTTGTTTTTCAAAGTAGCTTAAGTCATTGAACATGCGTGTGAGAGTGCTGCTGCTGGAGTTTATGGTGCATATCCGAGTGTCACGGCTCAGTGCCTTCAGAAGCATCAGCAGCCCTGTTATTTCAGAGTTACGCACACACTCAGCAGTACATGTGGTAGCTGTTATTAAAGAGGGACTTAAATAATGGAAAAATATATTTAGTGGAAACGTTTGTATAGAAATGAGCACAGGCTCAGGTACCTGTGAGAGCTTTCATGTCAACAGTTATCGGGTTTTAAGTGATGACATATGAGACCTGCTTCTGGGCCCAAACTACTGTGTTTATTAAGGCTGTTGTGTTTTTAACATGTTTTGTATCTTGTTCTATTTAATCTGAACAAAAAAAACCAAAAAAACAGTCAGTGATCCCTGTCGGCCTCTCTCGGTTTTTACCACCACTGTTCATTTTAAAGCTCAGATTTTAACCCTTACGATGTAACTCCAGCCCCTGCAGCAGTATATTAATGACTAACCTCATATTGTGGATGGATTATCTCAGTTGTTCTCCTGACTGAAGTTTGGTCCGTTTACAGCATCCTGCCATGCGATTGTATTTGTCTCTAACCATCAGGAACCCTCACGTTAACTTTTATCGTGTGGAAAAAAGTTAGCGTTCATCCTCCAGCTTCACTGTGTTTATGCTAGGCTAACATAGCTGTGTTGCTAGCGATCACGTAGCACATCATTATATAGCAGCTAGCCCAACTTCAGTAACCCTACAAACGTCACTGCTGTTTAGTTTTCTGTCTTCATTTATGTTGGAAGTGATAGCAGAGCTGTACGTTTGAATTTTTTCAAAAATCTCTCAGTCAGAACATGCTATATCATGTTTAGCTAACCAGCGAGCTAACTTCCTGCTAGCTTCTAACTCTGTTAAACTTAATAAATCCTGTTTTCATGGATGTTAAAGTTAATTGTTACACCTGGTAAAGCAGCAATGCTGATCGTTTTATTAAAGATGAAAGAATTTAGACAGTTTGCAACTCTCAGTGATGCTGAAGTGTTCGTTTGACTTTGGGACCTGAAGCGGAGTTTGGGCCCAGGCACGGCTAATGACGTCAGACTTAAAGACCGGATAGGGATAGACCGTGAAGCATGAAGTAATGAAAACTCATTATATTAATCATCATCCCCAGTGAGTGTTTCTGCACTGCATAAAACAGGTGGCAGAGTTATTAGAAATACAAAGGTCGTCAGCTGCTGCGTGCTGTGATCTGAACGCTAAGCTGTGGAACTGTTCTTTATTTTTTAAACGTCATTCAGAGCAAATGAAATGAAACTGCTGATTCACAAAACGTCTGTTTAGATCAAAAGCTTATTGTTTATTGTTTCTTACTCGCAGGCTGGACGCGGCATGGAACTCGACCCTGTTTGTGTGACGGATAGCGACCTTAGGATACGTCTCACTCTTGATTAGCGTGCTACACACACACAAACACACACTCCCTCTCTGGTTGGTGAGCGTTGGTTCTCATCACGCTCTGCTGAGTCTGGCAACAATGGCTGCCAAAACCCACACTGTGGATTTAGAACTGGAAGTGTATCATTCAGCAAGTTTCCTTCAGAGTTTTGCAAATGAAATGTATTTTGTAACAGCCACACATTCTCTGACAAACAATGCATCCTGTGTTTTTGCGTGTGTTAATTCCACAGTGTGCGCTGAGAGGCTTTCACTGTGACTCACTTTGAGGCATTTAGAGGTAAACACTTTACAGGATGCAGCTTGGTCTGTGTGTGTTGCACCGGTTTGTCTGAACTGGAGGAAATCAGCCCAACAACTTTCTCATTCAAAGCTAAAAATAAGAAACTATTTTATATTCTGTATCATCCTGTAATATTACTTTCTAATACTGCAGTTTTCCCATAAACATGTTTTCAGTCAGCTCTGGTGATGTCCACAGCTTTGCATCCCCCCACAGCAGATTACTGTAAGTGAGCCACTGCTGGGAAATTTAACATGACTTACAGCAGACAGCTGCAGAGCATGCACTGCATCTCAGAGTGGGAGAGACAGCCATGTTTTGCCAAGTCAGGCTTTTGTATTTGACTGTGAGTCAAGTTCAATTTCCTTCAGTTCATAATCCATTTACAGCATGAATAAGAGGTCCTGCATCCTCGCTCATTACTTACTGTAAAGCCTCTGTGTTTCATCAGCATGTGAGTGTTAAACATAGACAGACAGCAGTACTTTTGCACTTTTACACTCACCTGTTGTCTAAAACTGTATATTTTCTCTTTTTCTGAAGCGTCTCTGTAAACCTCAGAGATGGCTGTGTGGGAAAATCCCAGCAGATCAACACTCTGTAATAGTCTGCTGGCAGCACCATGTTCAAAGTCACTTAAATCCCATTTGGTCCTCACTCTGATGCTCAGTTCGAGCCGCGTCTGCACGCAGCCCTGCGTATTCTTCGCTGCTGCCCTCACCGTCGGTCATTTTAAAGCTTAACCTCAGTCACAGAAAACAGAAGCACTGCAGTCACAAGTGTTTGTGTGTTATTACTGGGTTCAGTTAATGAACAGCACAGCAGCAGGCACACAAATGATTGTCATCATTCACAAAATGTGTTCACATAAAACATGTGCTCACGTTAAAATGTGGTAAAAATGAAAACGATTGAGGCCTTTTGATGTCATTAGTCATGTTTAAGAGTTCAGTGTTGTAGAGTGTGACCTCATTCAAGGTGAGACTAAACGTGTCGAAGCTGAAACGACACCTCTGCAGCTGGAGTCACGCTGAAACGAAGCATTTCCTGCTTCCTGTTTGACATCACTGTTATAAATCAAGATGATCTGTGTGTTTCTTTGCAGACGGTGCGTCATGGTTTCCCTTACCAGCCCACCGCTTTGGCCTTTGACCCCGTGCAGAAGATCCTGGCCATCGGTTCGAGATCTGGTGGAGTACGAATGTATCCTTTACTTCCTGTTCACTCACCCCGCCCACACACACAGCAATGACCTCTGATCACACACAAAACACAGACTTAATGTATTTACTGTAAATACTTTACTGCTGCCACAGAAGCAGGCGGCTCCCACTGTGTTATGTCTCTCCTCCTGTACAAGCCGAGCAGGGGCCTCCGCAGCTCCGACCTTTGACCTCCTCCTCTGGTTCTGTTTCCTCTTTCTATCCTGTCATTTCGTGTCACTCACTTGTCTGGTTGCAGACTCACCCTGCAACAGTCTCCTGGGTCACAGGGATGGTGGAGGACGAGTAACTGCAGCACAGGTACGATGTTACACCCTCGTTAACACCGAGCGTCCTCCTCCAGCAGAGGCACCAAACACGGACGCTGCAGCAGCCACGCAGACATCCCGCCGGGGTGACGCGTGAGCGGGCCGAGTGGTTTCTGTGCTGAAAGAAAGCGTAAAAGCTCCAGAGTGTCAGAGGTGGACGTGACGCTGTGTGAATATGTGTCTATTTGACAAAGCTAACGACTGAACCAAATACTTCATCTCTGCTCTGAATCCGTTCTTCCAGCCGATCAATATCCCAGCATTTTCCTTTTTAATATGTTCTTCATTCCATAATTATTTCTTTGTATTAGATTTGATTTAAATATTAAAGCGTTACCGTCCCGCAATCATAAAAATAGATTTATCCAATCAGATTTTTTAAAACTTTACCTCTAGGAAGAGAAAATGCAGCAGCTGGCTCAGTAATTGCTACAGACTTCACATTCAGGAGGAACAGAGCTCTGTGTGTGCTTGTTATGGATGGATGACAGATTACATCCAGGACCTGAACCCAGGTTCTTCTAGCACACGTCGTGCTACCTTCACAAATACATTTTAAATTAAGTATGAAAAATGATCTTGTGAAATCCAAGAAAACACCACCAGATATTTCTGTGGATTTCAGCCTTGGCGCAGGTGTGCAGTCTCCTTCAGCACTTACTCATAAAGTGATGGGCGGATTAATCAATTATGGTTTGATTTATCCCTAAAATCGTATCCCCGGGCCCCGCTGAAGCCCGGAGCTGCTTGTTTGCAGAGCTGGATCTTCTCTCAGGTGACTGCGGTGCCTTCACCTCTGGGCTTTCTCTGAAGCAGATACCTGTGTTCTCAGACACCTGAGGGGTCCATGTCTCTGGTTTTCGGTTTGTTGCAGATTGGGACGCGCTGTAGCTTTGATTTAATCTGCTTGTCATCTTTGATCAAACTGAGCTGAGAAGCTTTAAACCTGGTTCAGATCAGGTTTAGATGAGTTAGCCGTTAGTCCCCACTGCTGTGTCCTACACCTGACAGTAGAGCTCGGCTGGGCTTGCAGCTGCATGGAAGCCCTTGAGTGACTTAGCATTTGTATTGACATGCTGCACACACCTCCCTCGGCTCCCGAGTGGCCCGTCACAGACTCTCTGGCTCTCTCTCGGTCTCACTCCTCGATTTTGCCCTTTCTCAATCTGCCTCGCCTGCTGTCGTCTTCTGTCTCGTGGACCTTCCCCCGTTTCTGCTTTTATTTATTCACTTTACCCTTCGTCTGTCCTTCACAGCCTGTCTCAGTGTCCGTCCTCTTCCTCCCGAGGCTTTGAACATTCACCTGTCATCTTCTGTAACGCTCTCCTTTTGTTTCTCCTCTAGTTTCCTCTCATTTAGCTGTTTTACTACGGCTGGTTGAAATGTATGTAGAAATGTATGCTTGGTTAAAGCGATCACAGTTAATGTTCACATGACACTGTTGACTGCAGGACTGTGGGTTTGTGGGCCGTCTGTGGGAAGTCGGTTTCCCAGCGTGTGGTCTGCCTCTGTACATCCTGAACAGTGATCAATACGTCGGAGTCCCAGTGGAATCTCTTTGCTTTGTTTTCATCCTGAATCTTTGTTTTTTATACCTAAGTGGGCGACTTCATGCATATTTACTTAAGTCTTGGAGCTGCTCTTCATCACCAACCTAACAAACAGTTAATGTGATCTTATTTTATTACAGCAGCTCTGTTTCTTTATGCTGGTTTACCTGATTCCCGGGCTTCAGTGTTTGGGGCGAGTGTGCTTACGTACACTCAGAGCAGATTTGGGAAGCTGGCTCAAAGCAGCGCTGTGGATTCGGTGGGTTGAGGAGTTGCTGCGATAGCTGAGATGACTTTCAGCGGCTTAGAAATAGCAGGAATAGAAGTTGTGAGAGAAGCATGAAGGTAGAGACGGATAGAGGTGGCACACTGTGGAGAACAAAGGCAACTTCAGTTACATTATTAAGGATGGTGATAAAAGTACACAAGAAGAGATATTTAAGTCGCAGCTCTCTGCTGACATTTACATCTTTACCAGCTACAAACAAAGATGATCCTCACAGCTGCTCTGTGCTGGAGCTCACTGTGACTACGTTTTATAACCAGACTGAAGCAAAAATCTGCTCCATGAAAACAAACGTTGATTCTTTGATGAACAGAATCAGCAGGAGGAACACGGAGAAAGTCCCAGTGTGTCAAATCAAGCAGCTTATTAACACAGACGCTACAGCTCGGGTCAAAACACAGACCGGACCGTTTTAAGCTAACGCTATGTTGTCTGGGGTTTAGCTTTGAGCCTGACTTCATCAGCTCGAGGTGTTTGGACCTGCTCTCTGTGGGCAGAAGAACGCCGTCTGCAATAACACCACCACTCATTCACCTATAAGTATGTCAAAGATGGCTCCGCCCCTCCCTGAGCCCGGCTATGCTGGAGGTTTCTTCCTGTTGAAAGGGAGTTTTTCCTTCCCACTGTCACCAAGTGCTTACTCACAGAGGGTCGTTTGATTGTTGGCCTTTCTCTGTATTGTTGTAGGGTTTCTACTTTACAGGATAAAGCACCTGGAGGGGACCGCTGCGCTGTACAGACTGAATTGAAAAGCTAAGTTGGAATTCACGTTGAGGTTGTTCGTGTCGTAGCTTAACTTTATGTTTACCTTCATTTATTGTTTCAGATTCAGGTGTTTTTCCTCCTTTTCATGAATGATGATCATTTAAATTGTTGTTGGGTCACATGTGACACTGAGACCGTCTTACATCACTGCACATGAACGTAGAATGTGAGAGCAAATACACAGAGGTGTTTGAACACATCTCAGCATGACTTCATTATCAAAAAGATAAACAAACTGAACCCTGTCCTCACCTGTAGCCGCTCCGACTCACATCATCCTGGAAGAATTACTCTGCAGTCACGTAACCACGCCGTGGGTGTTTTGCGTAGTAGACTGTCAACATACTGTCGTTGTGCTTTTTGTATTCCCCCAGTGACAAATTGCCTCCTACGTGTAATCATGATTTAAACCCTCCTCCCCTTCCATCGCCAAGAAACTCTGAAGCTGCGCGAGCGTTTCGGTGTGGACAGCTGTGTTATTCATGTCTTTATGTCACGTATTTAACATCAATGGCTGAGTCAGTCACAGCAGGACCGGTCCCGCTCTGATGAATAGTGCATAGCAACAATGTCATCGGGGTTGGCGCAGTGGGTTGGCAACAAGGCTCTCTGCAGTGGGCTCCTAGGACGCTCCTCCCTCTGCTTTGAGCGAGACGCCCAACACGTGCTGAGATTTGGTTTACAGAGAACAAATATAATCAAGAAAGTGCCTGACGAGTGTGTGTGTGTGTGTGTGCGCGTGTGTGTGTGCTTGTGTGTGTGTGTGTGCGCGTGTGTGTGTGTGTGTGTGTG